TCAGATCCACGACTCAAGATCCACGACTCAAGATCCACGACTCAAGATCCACGACTCAGGATCCACGACTCAAGATCCACGACTCAGGATCCACGACTCAAGATCCACGACTCAGGATCCACGACTCAAGATCCACGACTCAGGATCCACGACTCAGGATCCACGACTCAAGATCCACGACTCAAGATCCACGACTCAGGATCCACGACTCAGGATCCACGACTCAGGATCCACGACTAAGATCCACGACTCAATCCACGACTCAATCAGGACTCATTAATTATCCACGATTTAAAATCCACTACCATATGTACTCATACTGCATCTAAATACAATCTTGAGGTACTTGCCAATTTAAGAGTACTTTATACTTTTACTACAGATTATTGAAGCCAGTATTGTACTTTTCAATTCACTTAATTTATCTGACATTAGTTACTTTGAGTGTTGTGTGTTTTTACGTCTCTTTCTAGGTTTGATGTGGTTATTTGGAGGCTCATTGTAGCCAGCTTGTGTTTCATCGCGGTCATTTTGAGTGGATTTCTTTAGTTCGATGTTTCGCTTTTCATATTATTTGTTTCTTTGTGTCCGTTCTTTGCAGTATTTTGTGTGTTTTTGTGTCCTTCTTTGTGTCCTTGCAGTCAGTTCGAGCGTCTTCATGGTTGTCTTCTCCTTTTTAATCAGCATTATGAGCCTCTTTGTGGTCTGTGTCTTTTTCGTAATTCTGATTCATCTTTTTGAGTGAAATTATACACATAAAGTCCAGGGGCCTCAGATACTCTTAGCCCCTGGACTTGTGACTGGGAGACCCCGTTCAGTCATCCTCAGATGTGTTTACCTGCCCTCACAGTAATGGAAATGTGTTAATTAAATAATTAAACCATCAAATTAAGTCATCGTGAATCCAGACATGGTGTGAGCGTCGCTGTTTTTATTCATCGTCTCGTTAAGATCTGAACGTTTTTCCACTCGGCTCCTCAAAATGTTTCTCATTAAAACGAACTGATGCATAACCAGAGACTCAGGACAGGATATAAAGAAGAGGAGACATGGAGACAGAGATACAGGTAAAGAGACGGACATCAGACAGACATGGCGCTCAAAAAAACCGACAGCAGCAAACTCCTCATGGCGGGTGAGATGAAATTATATTTAACTATCTGTTTGGGATCTCGACGGAACATAATTGCGGCTATAAAGTGATATTAGATTTGTAGATGCAGAATATCTTTCAACTGATGAAGAGAACAAGTTGTATTTGAAAAAACGAGATGTTTGAGGTAGTTTAGAAACAGGGATAGAAAGATACGTTTATTTTGTACACGGTTAACTACGGTGGCCTGCAGGTGCAAACGTGTTATCATGACCCGACACATTTCCATTAAGAGAAACACGCTGCGGCTTCAGAAACGATGCAGATATAAAAAAACTATTGGCCAGCTTATAAAACGTATATGTTATATACATCACTACTCTAACTCAATTTACAACAAGAACAAAAGTGGTCCCAGGGCAGATCCTTGTGGAACCCCATATTTCATTTAATATTATCTATCTATGTAGTGTCTCTACTTTAAAGAGTCCTCTCCAGCTGATGTTCAGGTGTATATCAGTATGTAGTGTCTCTACTTTAAAGAGTCCTCTCCTGCTGATGTTCAGGTGTATATCAGTATGTAGTGTCTCTACTTTAAAGAGTCCTCTCCTGTTGATGTTCAGGTGTATATCAGTATGTAGTGTCTCTACTTTAAAGAGTCCTCTCCTGCTGATGTTCAGGTGTATATCAGTATGCAGTGTCTCTACTTTAAAGAGTCCTCTCCTGCTGATGTTCAGGTGTATATCAGTATGTAGTGTCTCTACTTTAAAGAGTCCTCTCCTGCTGATGTTCAGGTGTATATCAGTATGCAGTGTCTCTACTTTAAAGAGTCCTCTGCTGCTGATGTTCAGGTGTATATCAGTATGTAGTGTCTCTACTTTAAAGAGTCCTGTCCTGCTGATGTTCAGGTGTATATCAGTATGTAGTGTCTCTACTTTAAAGAGTCCTGTCCTGCTGATGTTCAGGTGCATATCAGTATGTAGTGTATCTACTTTAAAGAGTCCTCTCCTGCTGATGTTCAGGTGTATATCAGTATGTAGTGTCTCTACTTTAAGAGTCCTCTCCTGCTGATGTTCAGGTGTATATCAGTATGTAGTGTCTCTACTTTAAAGAGTCCTCTCCTGCTGATGTTCAGGTGTATATCAGTATGCAGTGTCTCTACTTTAAAGAGTCCTCTCCTGCTGATGTTCAGGTGTATATCAGTATGTAGTGTCTCTACTTTAAAGAGTCCCTCTCCTGCTGATGTTCAGGTGTATATCAGTATGCAGTGTCTCTACTTTAAAGAGTCCTCTGCTGCTGATGTTCAGGTGTATATCAGTATGTAGTGTCTCTACTTTAAAGAGTCCTGTCCTGCTGATGTTCAGGTGCATATCAGTATGTAGTGTCTCTACTTTAAAGAGTCCTCTCCTGTTGATGTTCAGGTGTATATCAGTATGTAGTGTCTCTACTTTAAAGAGTCCTGTCCTGCTGATGTTCAGGTGTATATCAGCATGTAGTGTCTCTACTTTAAAGAGTCCCCTGCTGCTGATGTTCAGGTGTATATCAGTATGTAGTGTCTCTCCTTTAAAGAGTCCTCTCCAGCTGATGTTCAGGTGTATATCAGTATGTAGCGTCTCTACTTTAAAAGAGTCCTCTCCTGCTGATGTTCAGGTGTATATCAGTATGTAGTGTCTCTACTTTAAAGAGTCCTCTCCTGCTGATGTTCAGGTGTATATCAGTATGTAGTGTCTCTACTTTAAAGAGTCCTCTCCTGCTGATGTTCAGGTGTATATCAGTATGTAGTTGTCTCTACTTTAAAGAGTCCTCTCCAGCTGATGTTCAGGTGTATATCAGTATGTAGCGTCTCTACTTTAAAGAGTCCTCTCCTGCTGATGTTCAGGTGTATATCAGTATGTAGTGTCTCTACTTTAAAGAGTCCTCTCCAGCTGATGTTCAGGTGTATATCAGTATGTAGTGTCTCTACTTTAAAGAGTCCTCTCCAGCTGATGTTCAGGTGTATATCAGTATGTAGCGTCTCTACTTTAAAGAGTCCTCTCCTGCTGATGTTCAGGTGTATATCAGTATGTAGTGTCTCTACTTTAAAGAGTCCTCTCCTGCTGATGTTCAGGTATATATCAGTATGTAGTGTCTCTACTTTAAATAGTCCTCTCCTGCTGATGTTCAGGTGTATATCAGTATGTAGTGTCTCTACTTTAAATAGTCCTCTCCTGCTGATGTTCAGGTGTATATCAGTATGTAGTGTCTCTACTTTAAATAGTCCTCTCCTGCTGATGTTCAGGTGTATATCAGTATGTAGTGTCTCTACTTTAAAGAGTCCTCTCCTGCTGATGTTCAGGTGTATATCAGTATGTAGTGTCTCTACTTTAAAGAGTCCTCTCTGCTGCTGTTCAAGTGTATATCAGTATGTAGTGTCTCTACTTTAAAGAGTCCTCTCCTGCTGATGTTCAGGTGTATATCAATATGTAGTGTCTCTACTTTAAAGAGTCCTCTCCTGCTGATGTTCAGCTGTATATCAGTGTGTAGTGTCTCTACTTTAAAGAGTCCTCTCCTGCCGATGTTCAGGTGTATATCAGTATGTAGTGTCTCTACTTTAAAGAGTCCTCTCCTGCTGATGTCCAGGTGTATATCAGTATGTAGTGTCTCTACTTTAAAGAGTCCTCTCCTGCTGATGTCCAGGTTTATATCAGTATGTAGTGTCTCTACTTTAAAGAGTCCTCTCCTGCTGATGGTCAGGTGTATATCAGTATGTAGTGTCTCTACTTTAAAGAGTCCTCTCCTGCTGATGTTCAGGTGTATATCAGTATGTAGTGTCTCTACTTTAAAGAGTCCTCTCCTGCTGATGTCCAGGTGTATATCAGTATGTAGCGTCTCTACTTTAAAGAGTCCTCTCCTGCTGATGTTCAGGTGTATATCAGTACGTAGTGTCTCTATTTTAAAGAGTCCTCTCCTGCTGATGTTCAGGTGTATATCAGTATGTAGTGTCTCTACTTTAAAGAGTCCTCTCCTGCTGATGTCCAGGTGTATATTAGTATGTAGTGTCTCTACTTTAAAGAGTCCTCTCCTGCTGATGTTCAGGTGTATATCAGTATGTAGTGTCTCTACTTTAAAGAGTCCTCTCCTGCTGATGTCCAGGTGTATATCAGTATGTAGTGTCTCTACTTTAAAGAGTCCTCTCCTGCTGATGTCCAGGTGTATATTAGTATGTAGTGTCTCTACTTTAAAGAGTCCTCTCCTGCTGATGTTCAGGTGTATATTAGTATGTAGTGTCTCTACTTTAAAGAGTTCTCTCCTGCTGATGTTCAGGTGTATATCAGTATGTAGTGTCTCTACTTTAAAGAGTCCTCTCCTGCTGATGTCCAGGTGTATATTAGTATGTAGTGTCTCTACTTTAAAGAGTTCTCTCCTGCTGATGTTCAGGTGTATATCAGTATGTAGTGTCTCTACTTTAAAGAGTCCTCTCCTGCTGATGTTCAGGTGTATATCAGTATGTAGTGTCTCTACTTTAAAGAGTCCTCTCCTGCTGATGTTCAGGTGTATATCAGTATGTAGTGTCTCTACTTAAAGAGTCCTCTCCTGTTGATGTTCAGGTGTATATCAGTATGTAGTGTCTCTACTTTAAAGAGTCCTCTCCTGCTGATGTTCAGGTGTGTATATCAGTATGTAGTGTCTCTACTTTAAAGAGTCCTCTCCTGCTGATGTTCAGGTGTATATCAGTATGTAGTGTCTCTACTTTAAAGAGTCCTCTCCTGCTGATGTTCAGGTGTATATCAGTATGTAGTGTCTCTACTTTAAAGAGTGTGTGTGTGTGTGTGTGTGTGTGTGTGTGTGTGTGTGTGTGTGTGTGTGTGTGTGTGTGTGTGTGTGTGTGTGTGTGTGTGTGTGTGTGTGTGTGTGTGCAGTGGTGTGTTTGGTGGCAGTCTGCAGCTCTGTTCCTATCAGTGATCTTCTGGACCGAGCCTCTCAGGGCTCAGATAAACTGCACGCTCTCAGCACCATCATCTCTCAGGACCTGGTCAGTGAACGCACCACGGCTTTTAAATGCCATTAACCTGCACCACTAGTCTTCTCATGTTTCAGCACATTGGAGTAGATATTGGAGAAGGACCAGACATTAGGCGCAGGGGGGTCAAACTCAATTTCATGGCGGGCAACATCAGCATTATGGTTGCACTCAAAGGGCCGGTTGTAACTTTAAGACTATAGAAATATACATGTATAAAATAATGTATTGTATTATATTACATGATTGTAATGTAACCTGTAACCCCTGCATGAGATAATATAATGACGATGCTCCTTTGCCCCGCCCCCCAGAACTCTCACTTCCCTCCCATTGGTCAGGTGATTATGCCCCGCCCCTCGATGTGTCACACCTCCTCTCTGCAGACGCCCAGCGACAAGCAGCAAACTCTGCAAGTTTCTGTGAGTCTTTTTTTACTTTTTGTGGTGGACTTCTAGGGGTCCATCACAAGGGATACTAATCTGGTGTTCATCATGAATATCTTCATCAATACATCCTTCTATATTGTGATAATATACACACTTTTACATATTTTATTGTTGTTATAATAGTGAATGACAATGTGCGGCACATTTAATTTTCTGTGCTTATTACGCTTTTTTGTGTTTGTATATAATTCAATTATATTTCTTACATTTTATATTATTATTTAAATCTTATCTTTTTAATGGAATATATTTTTTTTACTTCTTTTATTGCATATTTTTACCTTAACTTCTCATGTCTTATAAATACTTTTATCCTGTATTTAAAACCATTTGTATTGCACATTTTACTTTAACTTGTGGTGTTTTATTTTATACTGTATTACTGTACTTTTTTGTTACTCTAAACTGGAGAAACAAAACCCAATCTGTCGGCAGGTAGTAAAGTATTTAGATTGTGATGGTTCTTACTGACCTCTGCAGGCCAACTAGTGTATTACAACACCTTTCAAAAAGTCTTGCTATCTATACGGACTATTCAATAAAACCCTTTCCCTAGATCTCCTCCTTCCTTCCCTTGATCTCCTCCTTCCTTCCCTTGATCTCCTCCTTCCTTCCTCATTGATCAACTGTCACTAAAAACAGTAAATGGAGCCGTTTTAGCCAACATTGCTAATTTCCAGCTGTTGTCCCCGGCCAGATGATAATAGACACCTTTTTTCAAAATCACAAAACATCAACAGCATGAGTTATAAAGAAAGGATGAAAGGATATAAGAGAACAATAACATGCAAACGTCACACGTTACTACATGCATGTCACATATAGCACATAACACAGAAAGGAAGGGTCCATGATCACAACATGTAACACACACTGCAGCAAATGCCTCCCCTGATGCGTCCTCTGGTCTTTATCACGTGTCCCTCTCAGGAGTCGGACCTCCTCTCTCTGGCTCGCTCTCTGCTCCAGGCCTGGTCCGACCCCCTGCTGGCTCTCTCAGCTTCAGCAAACACCCTCCATCACCCCGACCAGACCTCCATCTCCAACAAGATCCAGGAGCTGCAGCTGCACTCCAAGAGCCTGGGGGACGGCCTGGACATCCTGTCTGGGAAGGTACTCTTTAAAGAGGAGACCCTACATGCTGATATACACCTGAACATCAGCAGGAGAGGACTCTTTAAAGTAGAGACACTACATACTGATATACACCTGAACATCAGCAGGAGAGGACTCTTTAAAGTAGAGACACTACATACTGATATACACCTGAACATCAGCAGGAGAGGACTCTTTAAAGTAGAGACACTACATACTGATATACACCTGAACATCAGCAGGAGAGGACTCTTTAAAGTAGAGACACTACATACTGATATACACCTGAACATCAGCAGGAGAGGACTCTTTAAAGTAGAGCCACTACATACTGATATACACCTGAACATCAGCAGGAGAGGACTCTTTAAAGTAGAGACACTACATACTGATATACACCTGAACATCAGCAGGAGAGGACTCTTTAAAGTAGAGACACTACATACTGATATACACCTGAACATCAGCAGGAGAGGACTCTTTAAAGTAGAGACACTACATACTGATATACACCTGAACATCAGCAGGAGAGGACTCTTTAAAGTAGAGACACTACATACTGATATACACCTGAACATCAGCAGGAGAGGACTCTTTAAAGTAGAGACACTACATACTGATATACACCTGAACATCAGCAGGAGAGGACTCTTTAAAGTAGAGACACTACATACTGATATACACCTGAACATCAGCAGGAGAGGACTCTTTAAAGTAGAGACACTACATACTGATATACACCTGAACATCAGCAGGAGAGGACTCTTTAAAGTAGAGGCACTACATACTGATATACACCTGAACATCAGCAGGAGAGGACTCTTTAAAGTAGAGACATTACATACTGATATACACCTGAACATCAGCAGGAGAGGACTCTTTAAAGTAGAGCCACTACATACTGATATACACCTGAACATCAGCAGGAGAGGACTCTTTAAAGTAGAGACACTACATACTGATATACACCTGAACATCAGCAGGAGAGGACTCTTTAAAGTAGAGACACTACATACTGATATACACCTGAACATCAGCAGGAGAGGACTCTTTAAAGTAGAGACACTACATACTGATATACACCTGAACATCAGCAGGAGAGGACTCTTTAAAGTAGAGACACTACATACTGATATACACCTGAACATCAGCAGGAGAGGACTCTTTAAAGTAGAGCCACTACATACTGATATACACCTGAACATCAGCAGGAGAGGACTCTTTAAAGTAGAGACACTACATACTGATATACCTGAACATCAGCAGGAGAGGACTCTTTAAAGTAGAGACACTACATACTGATATACACCTGAACATCAGCAGGACAGGACTCTTTAAAGTAGAGACACGACATGAACTCTCTCTCCTCTTCCTCAGATGGGTCCTGCAGCTCAGACCATCTCTTTGCTTCCCTTCTCTGGAGGAAATGACATCGGCCAGGACCGGATTTCACAATTAATCAACTTCAACTTCCTGTTGTCTTGTTTCCGCCGCGACTCCCACAAGATCGACAGTTTCCTGAAGGTTCTTCGCTGTCGGGCCACGAAGGCGCAGCCTCAGATGTGTTGAAGAGAGAGTCGGCCAGCTTTGCTTTTTCTCAACGTTTTCATGGTGCAGGGATATCGTACGTCTCAAAGTCAAAGTCAACTTTATTGTCAATCTTTCAGTTTGTGTGTACAGACAGAGAATCGAAATAACGTTTCCCACAATCCCGAATACAAAACAAATATATATATATAAACATGTATATACCTATATATATACCTATATATATATACCTATATATATATATATATAAACAAAGACACATTTATACATATGCTCACATTAAGACCTAAATAAAAGCACAACAATCAATATATACAGAAATAACAGTCACTTCAATCATTTCTGTGTTGGTCCCTGAAGGCAGCATCTCTCTGGTCCAATGGGATTGCTCCATGTGATTTTGGGTTATCGGGAAAAAAATCTGTGTCAAACAAACGTCGATGACACTTAAATCCACCAGTTGGGTATTTACTGACGTTTTCTATGTCGTAGAATTCAAATCTCTTCAGCTTACTTTAACCACAGACCTTATTTCAGGCTAACAACCAAAAACACATTCAGAAAACCATTGTCCTACAGACCAGGAAGTGATAAAATGCTGACTCATGACAGGGTTTTACGACTCATTCCTACACCTCTCTATTGCCTATAGATTAGCGCATGCTAGGATTCTGCTATATGAGCTAATGGTTAGCATTCTGAGTTTCCAGAAGGCGGCGATGAGCAGGAGTTTCATGGCGTATCGTATCCAGTTTACCTGAGTATCTTTATACTTTAAAAACACCTACTCCACTACATGTTAGAAGCCTGTATTGTACGTTTTACTCTACTACATTTATCGTACAGCTTTAGCTACTTTACAGATTCAGATTATTAGCTAAATTACTGACTTTATGACTTTTAAAAGAGTACTTTAACACTGTAGCATTAGCCGCTTTCACACCAAGTACTTTGCCGCACTTAGTGCCCAGCACTTAGTGCCCAGCACTTAGTGCCCAGCACTTAGTTCCCAGCATTTAGTGCCCAGCACTTAGTAACCCCATGGAACTAAGAGCCGATCGTGTTCACACCGGAATAAGTTCCCTGAGAGAGGATTAGGCAAATGAAGCCGCTGACGTCACTTCTTCTTCTTCTGCTTTGGGTTTACTGGCAGGCCGCAAACAACTTCACGGCGTATACTGCCACCCGGAGTCCCCGGCCGGAAGTCCCCGGAGTTGGGGAAGGCTTCAGTAGAAGCTGCTGGGACTCCCAGCAGCTTCTACTGAAGCCTTCCGAGTAAATCGCCAGAACGCCGACACCTCCTCATCTCCACCGCTCCCATGTTTTCTTTTGTGTTGCCATAAGTTAGTCTCTCTGCGTTTCTACGCTGGGCTAATGCTAATGCTAATAATGCTAATGCCACAAATACAATGGCGGCTTCACAAAACTTTTCAGAGTTTTACGGGGCGTGGTTTGCAATTCGCCCAGCCAATCGAAATTGGTACTTTTTTCTCCCCGGGAAAGCACCACCTCTCTAGCAGGGACTGACATGGAGGTAAAAGCTCTGGAACTATGTTCACTTTTTGGTGTGAACGCAAAATTCCAGGCACTATCGGAACTAAACGGGAAAAGTATGTGGAAAAGTATTCCGGTGTGAACGCGCCTATTGCTTCTTTTAATGAAGTCAAAAGTCACATTTAAGTCAGCGTGTTGCACAAACATTGACCTCAATCTGAATGATGGATGCGAAGGTATATTAAAGTTTAAGCTATCAACGTTTCCCATGGTAATTTGCATGCGTTGTACTTGTTTGAAAGCTTCCTTATTGACTTTAAATCAGGTTGATAACTTCCAGGAAGGGAATAAAGCATCTGCGTTTGCTTCCAGCTGGTCTGGCTTCATCACTTGACCGTGTTCTTGTAAACCTGGTATGTTTGTTCTGCTGTTCCTCCTCCTTGTCTCGTCCTTCTAAACCTTTGCACTTCAGATTTAAACATTCTCTGATAAGCGTGATGTGATGCTTATAGAATTGATCTTTTCAATCTGCTCATCAATAAAGATCTTCTTTTGCACAGTAACATCTCCTTGCCTGTCATCTTTTAGTCCACTGAATGTATGCAAACAAAATATGTAATCACGTGTGAAAGCATACATACTGTGTAAAATGACTTCATGGGATTTATTGACAGTAAGTAAAAAATAGAAACTTAATTTTTCGGAGAACTGTTTGTATTAAAGGGGACCTATCATGCAAAATGCACATGTTGATGTCTCTCATACATCAACATGTGTCCCCGGTGTGTCGGGGAACTCACGCAGCGTCAGGAAATAAAACCCTCTCTCTTTTCCTCCGTACGCAAATCTCTAAAAACGGAGGAACAACGGAGCTGATCCAGATTTGCGTCCGATATGACGTAATATCTGAAATGTGGACCCACGGGCCAATCAGAAACGTTGCTATCAGAAACAATGCCCGACTGTTCTGGACGTAATATGGTCGGTGTTTACATTAGCATCGCTAACATTCAGAGCTAACCTGTACTGGAGAGCATGTGTGTGAAGAAGCAGGAAGTAAAAAGGAACTCACCTTGTGGTATAACCGGCAAGAGAGAAAGCCTTTGAGCTCCAAACTGTTTCAGAGAGAATCCTTGATAATCCATGATATGGCGTTTCATCACGGCAGCATTTAGTTTAGACGGTAGCTGCCGGGTCCCGCATGAGCTCAGACCCTCCTCTTTAAAGCTTTATACCCAAATCAGCACTTTAGAAACAGGAAGTGGAATAGAGGGATATGAGGCGTGGCTAGAATGATCTGTTTGGTGTTTGGAGCAAAACACTTCATAGACATGTTTTTTAAATATTGTATATATCTGAGACCTGTTGCCTACAAAGAGCACGATAGGTGACCTTTAAAAGGCAAAGGCAGATATAAAAACACAATGCCTGCTTTTACAACATCTCCCCTGCAGAGGGCGGTATTTTGTTAAGCTTTATGCAATAGTTTTAGCAAGGGCTATACTCTGGCACCCTCTGGTGATAAACAGATATAATGCAAGGAAACGGGATGTAATGTTTAACTTGGACGGAATACACATTTAAATTCACTCCTATGCAAAGACAACTCCATACTAAATTCATTAAAGATGATATCCTCAGCATATTGAGGGTTTTTAAATCTCCTGGTGTCCAATGAGAGCTTCAGAAACCTGCCTCTGGATAGAGTTCATTTGACCGTTTAAGACTTTATTCGCTTGCATTTTTAGTGAGTAACAAAGAGGCTTTCTGAGTATTTTTGTGCGGGATCATCGCGTTAAGGATTAACATAACTACAATGGCTTTCACAGCTCTAACTACACCAATATCGAGACCCCCTGACTTCGTAGGCGTTGGTGGTATAGTGGTGAGCATAGCTGCCTTCCAAGCAGTTGACCCGGGTTCGATTCCCGGCCAACGCAATCTTTTTTCGGCGGCGATATGACTCAGATCATATATGATTAGATAAAATAAGAAGAACTTTATTGATCCTCATTTGGGAAATGTTTGCGTTGCAGCAGCATAGAAGGACACGGCATTGTACATTAGAGAAATTAATGTATCTTATGAGATAGCATGAAATACCAATGTTTTCTTTAACCCATTAAGAAGAAAGGAAATAGCATTAAAAAAGTAGAAAATATACATGTTGAAATACAAATGCACAGTAAAGCAGGATATGATATATACATTAAGTATGTCAGGGATGGAATATTAAATATTAAATTGAATATAAATGTAAAGTGTACAGTGTGATTTTACGTCTGGATAGAGTTCATTTTCAGTTTAAGACTTTATTCGCCTGCATTTTTAGTGAGTAACAAAGAGGCTTTCTGAGTATTTTTGTGTGGGATCATCGCGTGCGGGATTAACATCACTACAATGGCTTTCACAGCTCTAATGGCATCGATGTCGAGACCAGCCTATTCCCGTTAGCGTTGGTGGTATAGTGGTGAGCATAGCTGCCTTCCAAGCAGTTGACCCGGGTTCGATTCCCGGCCAACGCAATGTTTTTTTGGCGGCGATATGACTCAGATCATATATGATTAGATAAGATAAGAAGAACTTTATTGATCCCGATTTGGGAAATGTTTGCGTTGCAGCAGCATAGAAGGACACGGCATTGTACATTAGAGAAATTAAAAGAGTAGAAATAAACAATCCAACATGTAAACATCTCAAATAGAAATTAAATGGCATTAAAAAAGTAGAAAATATACATGTGGAAATACAAATTTACAGTAACATAATATGTGATCTTTAATCTTAATTAGCTATCTGCTGTATACATATAAATACTTGGCTACTAATTGTATTTTCTACTCTCTGTATATGTTTTACTTTCTTGTTTATAGTCTTTTAATTTTGAGTGTACAATGCCTTGTCTCGTTATGCTGCTGCAATGCAAACATTTCCCAAATTGGGATCAACTTCTTATTTTATCTTATTTTATTTTAAGACCACACAACTTGTCCTCTGTGAGATAGCATGAAATACCAATGTTTCTTTAACCCATTAACCATGAAGTAGAAAGGAAATAGCATTAAAAAAGTAGAAAATATACATGTTGAAATACAAATGCACAGTAAAGCAGGATATTATATATACATTAAGCAGTGGCGAGCCGTGATTTTATACCTAGGCCCTCTGACCCCCCCTTCCCTCGAAAAAAAAGAAGAAATATTACGTCTCAGCGTATACTTCAGCGGAATATCAAAACAGTGGTCCGGGGTGCAAAACGCATCAATGACAGCGACCCTCTACCACACAAAACAACATCATTTATATAAACACCTATCATGACAGGGCACCCACAGCCAAGTAACAATTACAAATGAATTAAGTCGGCACGGCGGCCCGCATTGAAAATGACTTAGGCCTATGGGCTCAGAACAGTCTCATAATACACACATGCGCACAGAAGGATTCAAACTTGTATTTCCGGATCCACACTTGTGTTTTTCAATCCACACACAAATGTATTCCGTTTCATATACATGTAAATAAAA